TTCTATAGAAAAATAGAAGTAAAATTGCATTTATTTTTGCATGGAACTTTTACATTTCAAGTCTTACATTTGGTCTTTATTTCCTTGTAGGGGCCCAGTTTCATTCTTTGTACATGGATGTCCAGTTTCCCAATCTATTTCTTGAAGAAACTATCTTTTATTTTAATTTTTTTTTTTTTTTAGATTTTTGCTATAGGGCGCGTGCGCTTGCCAGACAGACAGAGAGAGACAGAGAAATAGAAAGTGAGAAATCACCCCCCAGGGGGGATGGCCACGTCGCAATCCCTTCTCCTCCATTCTCCTCTCGGGATCTTGGGCACGCACGCACATGCGCCTGGTGTGAGTTTAAGCCACCGTGTCCGGGATGCGAACCACGGTTGACTACATGGGAGTCCAGCAACATAGCCATTACACCAACTGCTGGTCCCGAAGAAACTATCTTTTACCACATTGTATATTCTTGGCACACTTGTTAAATATGCATAGATTTATTTCTGGGCTCTCTAGTCTGTTTCATTGATATATGTGTCAGATTCATTCCTGTTACAAACTATTCTGATTACTGAAGCTTTGTGGTTTAAAATCAGGAGAAATTATATACTTTAGCATTGTTTTCTTCCTCAAGATTGCTTTGGCTATTTGGAGTCTTTTGTGATTTCATCCAAATTTTAGGAATTTTTTTTCCTGTGAAAAATACTGTTGGGGTGTTGATAAACATTGCCTCAGATCTATAGATTGCTTTGATGTTTTGACATTATTAATTCTTCCAATTCATTAACATAAGATATCTTTCCATTTATTTGTGCTTCTCTTTCTTTCATCTATTTATTATTGTTTTCAGCACACATATCTTTGACTTCCTTGGTTAAATTTATGCCTACTTATTATTGTTTTTGATACTATTACAAATAGGATTTAAAAAATTCTTTTTCAGCTATTTTGTTGTTTGTGTAAAGAAATATAATTGATTATACTCTACAATTTTATTGAATTTGGTTACTAGTTATAATAGTTTTCTTGGTGGTGTCTTCAAGGTATACTATGTATAAGACAATATCATCTACAAATAAAGACAATTTTACTCTTTTTTTCCTATTTTCTAGTGTTCTGATTTCTTATTTACATTAAATCATTACATATCTCTATAGCTCACAATATGTTTTTCAAGGTATGAAAGCAGAACATGACAATCAAATTAAAGATATTACCATGTACATACTTTTTGACAGAGAACTTAACATTCTTATGTCTGTTAAGTGTTTCTTCCCTTTGCCCCTCTCACCCATCCTCTACTATCCACTCCTTTCCCTTACAGTCTCTATACACTTGTTTTATTTATTTATTTATTTTTTGGAGAGGTTTTTGCTATAGGGCACATGTGCTCTCCAGAAAGACAGAGAGACAAAGAGACAGAAAGTGAGAAATCACCCCCCCAGGGGAGATGGCCACGCCACAATCTCTTCTTCATTCTCCTCTCGGGATCTTGGACATGCATGCACATGCACCCAGCATGAGTTTATGGCACTGGGTCTGGGACTCGAACCATGGTCAACTACATGGGAGTCCAGTGACATAGCCATTACGTCAACTGCTGGTCCCTCTATACACTTATTCTACCTACTGTGATATCTTTAGATTTTTCCATTTCTACCATACAGTGCACACATTCAGTATATATTGAATAGGGATATACAGTGCTTGTCTTTGTAAGTCTGGCATACTTCTCTTAGCATTAAATCCTTGATATTCATTCACTACGATTCAAATGGCATGACCTCATTTTCCCCTATGAGTGAGTAGTATTCCATAGTGTATATGTGCCACATGTTTTCAATCCAGTCATCAATTCGTGGGCACTTAGATTAGTTCCAAGTCTCAGTGATTGTGAGTAATGCTACAATAAACATGGAAGTGCAAGTGTCTTTCTGACTGAGGGCTTTCTTATCCTTTGAGTAAATACCGAGAAGTAGGATTACTGAAGCATATGATAATTCTATTTGTAGGTTTTTAGGAAACTGACATATTATTTTCCACAGTGGCTGTACTAATTTACATTCCTAACAGTGTAGGAGGTGGGGGGTTTCCTATTCATTGCAGCCTCACCAGAACTTGTCATTCTTTTTTTTTTTAAATCATAGCTATTCTGACTGGAGTTAAGGGGTATCTCATTGTGATTTTGATCTGCATTTCATTTACAATAAGGGAGGTTGAACATTTATTTCACACCCATTTTGGCCATTTTTATGTCTTCTTTAGAGAGTTATCTTTTCAGCCCATTTGGCAACTTTTAAATTAGATTATTCTACTTTGTGAATGAATTGCATGATTCCATTTTTATTCTGGTTATTAATCCCTTATCTGAAGCATACTTTTCTCTCATTCTGTGGGTCATCTCTGTAGTCAATTTATTGTTTCCTTTTCTGTGCAGGAGCTTTTTAATTTAATGTAATCCCACTTAAAGATAATTTTACTTCTTTTCCAGTTTGATTTTTCACTTCTTTCTCTTGCCTAATTGCTCTGGCTAGGATGTTC